TGTTACACCCCTTTACCGCTAGACACCTGGGGTCGTAACAGGATAGCTTGTTTTCATTAATATCTCCGAAATGCTGCATGGTTCTAGGTTTAAACCAGGTGCACGTGAAAGCAGAGACTCAGAGCTTTCCTTTAATGTCTGTTATCCCCAGTTTTAAACTCAGCATCATGTCTGTCTCCATAAAAATGACAAAATGGATGTGTTCAATTTTCTCCCTTACCGGCTAGGCTGCCTGGTCCCAGGCCGTGGGTCACCGGGAGCACGCGGGGGGTCCGGGCCACCACCGGACCTCGCTCAGTCTAAAAGCGCAACAAAAGCTTGGAGCGAGGTGACTGCTGTACTACGTACAACACCCAGACCCAGCAACACGACGGTCTAAACCCAGCTCACGTTCCCTATTAGTGGGTGAACAATTCAACGCTTGGTGAATTCTGCTTCTCAATGACAGGAAGAGCTGACATCGAAGGATCAAAAAGCAATGTCACTATGAACGCTTGGCCGCCACAAGCCAGTTATCCAGTGGTAACTTTTCTGACACCTCCTTCTTGAAACCCCAAAAGTCAGAAGGATCCTGAGGCCCCACTTTTGCAGTCTATATTCATACTGAAAATCAAGATCAAGCGAGCTTTTGCCCTTCTGCTCCATGGGAGGTTTCTGTCCTCCCTGAGCTCGCCTTAGAATACCTGCGTTACCATTTGAGAGGTATACCGCCCCAGTCAAACTCCCCACCTGCCACTGTCTCCGGAGTGGGCCGTGGCCAGCGGGTGCCAGAAACAAGAGACTCGCCCTCCCACCTCGCCAGGTAAGTGAGGAAACGATAAGAATAGTGGTATTTCAGCAGTGGCGCCCCCGGGATGGGGCCTCCTTCCTATTCTACACCTCTCATGTCTCTTCACAGTGCCAGACTAGAGTCAAGCTCAACAGCGTCTTTTTTCCCCACTGATTCCGCCAAGCCCGTTCCCTTGGCTGTGGTTTGGCTAGATAGTAGGTAGGGACAGTGGGAATCTCGTTCATCCATTCATGCGCGTCACTAATTAGATAACAAGGCATTTGGCTATTACATTCACCAGACTGACTGGTTTCTTTTCCGGGTTCAGTGGCCTGTCCACTTAATCATCCAAAATGACACTTGCATGACAGCATCAGGGATGACACACCCGCCAATGGCTTTGAGTGCTCCCATGCCAATTGTAATAATTACGAGATCCCCAAAGTCAAGGTGGGTTGTCTAATTGAGTGCCCACCAGTCAAAATCAGTCCCGGCTAGGGTAGTGCTGTAAAGACCGGGACCTAGCTAGATTGCTAAGCAGGGTAAGGGGTAGTTGCTGTGGTTTTAATTCAAGCCGAGGTGTTTACAATATAGCAGTACATAACATAACATTTTTAGCACAATTTAGTTACATTATACTGTATACATTTTGTGGTTATATACAGTCATTGTTGTTTTCAGTGGCCGCGTTTTTGCCGCCAAACATTGAGAGGATGTCGAGGGAGTAGAGTAGGGCTCTTTGGCTGAAGAGCTGTTTCTGTCCACTTTCTCTGATCTGCAGGCTC